CATGACTAGCTTCACCATGCCACATCTCATACGGTGACTTACTGTCGGGGTTAGCGGAACAAGCTGTGTGGTTAATTGCTTCGCAAGCCCAATGCATCGCCTCAGCCCATAGTCTATCAGTCTTTGGTAATTGCACATGCCCAAACAAAAATTTTGCCTGAATACGAGCAGCCATTGCCGCCGCCTCAATCAATCCCAAACCACCCTCTGCAACACCGTTGTATTGGGGACTGTAAGCCGGGGTGAACTCTTGCTTAATCAAGAGCTCGTTGCACACGGACGCAAATTCTCCTCCGAAAACCTCCCACCCATTGTCAGATCTAACAATCTCAACCAATGATGGGATACCATCAGCACAAACACTTGCAAGGAAACTCCGGAAAGCACTCGCAGCGTCTGATTTACTTTTCAGGAAATACATCCATGTACGTCTTGTGAAATCATCCTTCACTATCATGGGGTAATGTTTACCCCCTACGGACGCAACGTCCTTCCGCCCTCCTAGGTCAACAAAAACTCTGCCCAACTTTTTGTCTGATCTGCATTTTGTTTCATGAGCAATCCCTTTCTTGGATGCCTTCGACATCGAACATCCTGTACAAGCATGCATTTTACCGGTCAACTCGATACCTAGTCGCTTTGCAGTTGTACGAAGCAATCCCTCATGCAAATGAGCATAAATGTTACGAAACTCGTTCACATCCATCTTCGATTCATGCTTGGGGTTTGAAGGAGTGAGGGCAGTGAACACCGAACCAACAGATTCATCTTCAAGACGATACGCAGTCTTAATTAGCATGCCATCGAAGCTCTGAAAAATAGTATGTCCGTCGAAAACAGTCATCACACCATCAGGACCACCAAGCAAGGTAATTCCATGACTCACCACCAATATCTGCGCTGGGAGAAAAGAGGTGATATCCCAAGTTGGGAGATTACAATACATGCTCCAACTCTACAGAAACTCACGTCAGCAGTCACAAACACCAACTCCAAGGTTCCAGACAGTGCTCTGGTTCAAGGGTAGAAAGTGATTTTTCAACACTCGAAATGACTTGCTGGGGGAACCTGCATGCCTAGCCATGGTATTGAGAGAGTTCTTACTCAAACAGTCGAACAAAATCCACCTTGATATCTCAGTCTCGGCACAGCACACCGATGTATGTTGTATCCTTTCTCTACCCAGGGGGTCAGATCGAATTCAATGCTTGCAATCGAAATCTCTACATGTAGCACAGAAACAAAAGCCTCATACAGATTATTGTTGTGGGCACTCAGTAGAAACAATTGTGACCACGACGGATACGACACGTCCGTCCCGTCAAAAACAGAAGCTTTGGGAACTTAATAAAAGGACTCCTACCCAAGTTTTCTCCTGTGTTATTAATGCCGGCCCCAGGAATATATGTGTTTCCACTGGCGACACGTCCCCACCACTCACTCGATGGAGTAGATGGGGGCGGAATGGAAGACTGGCTACCTAAAGCCCCACTAACCATTCCCGGAATGGAAGACTGACTATACACCTAAAGTCCCACTAACCATTCCCGAACCGAAAGACTGGCTACTACCCGAAGCCCCACTAACAGTTCCAATCGAACCAAAGCTTGCAGCACCAGCAGAGGGACGATTTACAGCAGATGCATGAGGGTTCAAGTCTGAGTCTAGAAGACTACTACTCCCAACTCTCACGCTGGACATGCCAAGGACTTGGGCACTGCTGCCCTTACCTCCCGCAGTCCTGCCAGTAGCATCTACAGGATGCCAACCGGCGTCGGTGCCGCCGCTGGCTCTACCACCAGCAGAGGAACGACAAACAACAATTGCACGAAGGTTCAAGCCTGAGTCTGCAAGACTACTACTCCCAACCCACATGCTGGACATGCCAAAGCCTTGGACACTACTGCCCTTACCTCCCGCAGTCCTGCCAGTGACATCCGAATGATGCGTACCAGCGTACTCTGTTCCGCCGCTTCCCGGCGCAGCAGCAAATGAAACAGAGGACTCCACCTGATGACCTCGTTGCCCAACAAGCGACTTCATTATGCTCGTGAGCTGGGACAACAGTGTCTCAATCGAATCCAGTCTCTCACCACCAATAACATCCTGCGAATCACCCGGAGGTGGGTCATCCACATGATCCCCAGCAGGCCCACTCATCACGAAGCAAGGTGATCAATCTTCCTCTGTTCAGTCTTGACGTACAGTCCAAGGGGATAAGCAGCAGTCGACTGGTTCGCTATAGCGTGTTGGTAAACTCGTGGCTTCTGGGGAAAATATGTTGTATTGATGAGACCTTGGATCAGGAGAACAGGTCAAAAGGTGGAGTGAGCAAGGGTGGGGCGAGCACCGCAGCACCGCAGCACCACCCGTCGCTCGACCAACGCACGAAAGCAGAACACAATATCGGAACACAATAATATCGGAACACAACGACTTAACAGGGGCCAACGTACTTCACAACGTACCATGAATCCTCTGGTTGATGCACTATCCATAAAGAACACACTCGGGGAAATGCACCATCCACGAGGAACATTCCTACAGAACGTTCCTCGCTGTTCTGATAATATGTGGCTACTCAGCGATCTGCAACGCCGACAGTCCCGCAATTCAAACTGTCCAATCATATTGTTGTGCTACGTTACTCTGTCGACACACACAGCAGCAACTATCTCGGAACATCACTCCCCTACACCTCTCACTTCTACCGGTTTTTTCGAGCGCTCCGCCGCCGCTCCGCCTTTTCTCGATCACGTGTGGAGCACTCTGTCTGCTCTCCGTTCGTTCTCTTCGCTCTCCGTCTGCCTCATTCCCTCTGCAGACTCTTCGCTCTCCGTCTGCCTTATTCCCTCTGCAGACCAGCACCAGCACTCTGTCTGCTCTCGGTTCGTTCTCTGCGCTCTCCGTCTGTCTGCAGCACCTCACAAGTAGCTATGAAGGATAGGTTGTAGCGACCACGAGAATCGTCGACGAGAATAGTTGTTGGTTTCAAAGTCTTTGGGTTAGCAGATCGTCGTTGTGCGCTCCCGTTAGTGTGTGACTTTTCCGTGGTCATGCTGTCAGGATGACTATGCCATGTCGTGTCGTATGCGTCACTATGCATCCCACGAGGATAGTTACTGGTTTCAAAGTCTCGGCTCGTCGCGTGTTGTGCGTATGTGTGCTGCCGTTAGTGTGTGACTTTGCCGTTGTCATGTTGTCAGGATGACTATGCCATGTCGTGTCGTATGTAGTGTGTGACTTTGCCGTTGTCATGAAGTTTGCGTGGTTGACTATGCCGTTTCGTGTGGTTTGCGTTGGGTGGCGCCCGTGTTGTTGACTACGCCGTGTCGTGTCGTTGCGTGGACCGTGCTTTAATTTACCGTTGCCTTAGTGTGCACCGTGTGACTTAGTTGTTAAGTCGTATGTAGTGTGTGACTTTGCCGTTGTCATGAAGTTTGCGTGGTTGACTATGCCGTTTCGTGTGGTTTGCGTTGGGTGGCGCCCGTGTTGTTGACTACGCCGTGTCGTGTCGTTGCGTGGACCGTGCTTTAATTTACCGTTGCCTTAGTGTGCACCGTGTGACTTAGTTGTTAAGCCGTGTCGTGTCGTATGCTTAAGAACGTGTTTCTGCTCACTACTGCTCACAACGCACGTTCAGTGTGTGACTTCGCCCTATGTGGTACATCATTTCTCACATCTGCATACTGCGGGAACAAATTGCTGGGAATCTCACAGACACCGCATACCATCGTTTACCAGACGCCAAGAAACATGCGTCTTGCGGTACGCTTCTCTCAGCGTGGCGGCGTAAGCCGCCGAAAGCCTTGTACAAGTATGTACTACATACTGCATCACAACAAACTCTTGTGGGCTCCACAGGTTGGAACCACACAACATGTCTGCCCACGCCCACGCTGGAACCTCACTCAACAGTATATAATATATAGTAGTTGTAGTGTCGATCCATTTCGTTCTCTGTTGACCCCGCAACCGTGGGCGCTACACCATAAATCGGACACAACCTCATTAGTGCCGGTAACGGCACTAATGAGGGATTGGTCAGCCCTCAATAGTGCCGTTTGGCACTATTCGCAATAGTGCTGGGTGCCCGGTTTAGTGCCGGTGAACGCTCTGTGCACGTACCGGCACTAAACAGGGCCCAGCACTGTATATATATATTTAGACTAATATTATTGTAGATGTTGTCGTACTGCTGTACCTTATTTTGTTTTGTGTGACCGACCGAGGTCTGTGAGATCTCTAAAAACGGTGGAGTACAGGTGAATGGTGATATTTCGGTTGTATATTCTGGAATAGCCTGTGGTATAAAAGGCGGCATGTGCATGTACTGCTGTACTGCCTAGTAGTGTGTGAGACGCGTCAGTTATTATCGTGATGCAACACGCATCATCTCGCTCATCTCTGTGCTTGCTCCGAGAAAATGACGCTGCTTGTTGACGGTTAAAAACTGTAGAATGTAAACAGCGAATATTCGTCCCACCCCTTGAGTGTCTGTATACGGTGTTTGAGACCACACACAAGGGCGGCGCGTATAAGCTGCCATGAGATCGGACGGCGCAGGAAGCAAATGGAAGTTTTTCCGGGACTGTTATTCGTGTTATTCCTCCGCACTTCGCGCGTGTTTGATTGGCTACAACAGTTGATGTATTAGGTTTTCTGCTGTGTATGTATGTATGTATGTACAATGTGTACAAGTTTTAGCCTGTAGCATATTGTACAAGTGCCGCGCTGTGCGACTGCCACTCATTGCACGCGACATTTTACGCTATATTTCCGACAAGCGTACAAGGTGACTTGAAATCCAAGAGGGACGAAGTTATTTGACAACATGGGCCGCCGAGCAGGTGTTCTGCGTGACCTGATCCTCCACAGAAAAGGCAGGGCCACACGGGAAGTACAGCAGTCCCAGGGGGAGAAGAAAAAAAAAAAATGCCGAGCACGCTTTCCTTTAAAAGTGACCCGACAAACAGCACGCCTGTGCCGCGTCACTCAACATGCAGACGTTTCCCACAGGATCGAGCACGCACGCAAAGATGGCCAAGAGGATGCCTTTCCGAGATCTGCCCACAAGGCCGAGGATGGTTGTGCCGCAGTGGTTGCCCATGAAGGAGGAGAAGGAGACCAAGTACACCCTCAACCTGGTGAACGGTGTCTACCAGATGCACAAGCAAGAGGTGAGCTACCTGCAATAGCCGCTGGCCGCTGTAACAAGTTTCTCTCTGCTGTACTATAGAATTCAGCTCTCTGTCTGTCCGACTCTCTGTACCCGATGTTCCGTGTGGCCGCTCTATCCCCGCCTTGCTGTCGCAAGGCCTGCCGAGGAACGTGAATGCTGCGGTACCGCAGGTGCAGCAGTACGCAGATGCAACAATACAATCATCGGATGCAGAAAGACGAGTAGGGGTAGAGGAAGGGTGGGTTTTGAAGTTTCGAGGGACGTTGTTGACTATCGCATCATTCACATGTGCTAGCGCATCGCCGTAGCGCCCGCACGTACTGAGAGCTTGGTACTGCTGTGTTGTGGCAGTAGTTAACAAATGCACCCTAGAAAATCAAAATCGAAGACAACAATTTTAGGAAAAATAAGGACCACAACACACACACAGAGACTACAATGTACAACAATGTACCCGTTCGATATACAGTAGGGGCCCCTATATAGTGCAGGGGTCTGTCCAGAGGCTTTACCTGCACTATAGCGGGCACCTGCACTACTGGTAAGGGTGCCCTCGATAGTGCAGGTTCGGCACTATTGGGGCTTTGAATATCCCTCAATAGTGCATAACCTGCACTATTGAGGCACTCTTTGACTCCACGGTGTGGGTGTGGCGTTCACACTTTGCGGGGCCAACAGAGTACGAAATGGATCGAGATTGTGTATCAATAGTGGACGAAGCTATGTCTCAGTCCTCGTTGCCTGCCTTCCCTCGATGTTGCAAGATAGAAAAAGATAAAACAGGAAAGAAACACGACAGAAAGCGCACTGCAAAAAAAGGAGCAACCATGTACTGCTGCCCCCTGCCATCATTACGTGGTGATAAAACTCTCATGCCTGCCTGGCGCACCCGCTTCGATTTCGCAAGAACCATCACACACACAAAACCAAGACAGGCACAATTTCTCCTGAGCCCTGCCCGGCGCACCCGCTGCCATGTTGCAAGAAAAAAAAAGAGAAAAAAAAGCGCACAGGAAGCTCACTGCATAGAAAAATCAAACAACGATGCACCCAACGCCTTTACCACGTCTTGACAAACTCCCTTATGCCTGCCCGGCGCACCCGCTGCGATGTTGCCGGAAAAAGAAAACTAGAAACGAAAAAGAAAGGCACACAGGAAGGAAGCTCACTGCAAAGAAAAATAAAACAACCACGTACCCCCCGCCCTCACCACGTCTCGACAAACTCTCTCATGTCTGCCTGGCGCACCCCCTTAGCGGCATGCGCTGCGGTCATCGCCATCTTTGCTTTCTGCGGATGGAACGCCCCGTCTCCGTTGCCGCTCTCATCTGCTGCCGATTCCAGGACGCCGAAGTGAGACGACAGCTCACCATAAGCCGGTGGAGCACGGCGCTCGCGCCCCGTGCTCTCACCGCCACCGCCGTCCTCCGTTTCATCATCCTCGTCGCAGCCGGAAGATATGCCCTTCATACTCCCCCGTTTCTTTTTCGTCGGGCGTTGAGATGATCCCGGCCCAGCACCCTCAGCTAGTGCATCTTTCTTTGCGCTTGCCAGCTTTGGCGGCGCACGTGCTGCAGATTCGGCGTGTTTCGTGGTCGTCAAACATGCTGCCGCAGTTGCCGTGGAGCCGTCCGCCACATCCTCCATGACAGACGTGGCCATGCGGGGCTTGCGGCGTCCTGTCTGGTTGGTGGCACAGTTCACCATCCGCACAAGGCATGCTGCGCACCTGCGCTGCGTAGAGCTCTTCGGGTCTGCAGCAGCACGTGCACCCGCGTTTTGTGTTGCGTCTGTCCGCTGACCGTGTATGTCTTTTTTTTTTTGTCGCGTGTGTGTGTGAATGTTTCTCCAACCTGCACTATTGCGGGGCAACGCGGTGCCCAACGTGCACTTTAGCGGGTATCTGCCCTCATTAGTGCAGGATCTGCACTATTGAGGGCGCAGTCCGTGTCCAGAGATTTTACCTGCACTATTGAGGGCTATTGCACTTTTCAGAGTGCACTATATAGGGCCCCCTACTGTATCTGTATCCACATTCGAACGGCATGTGGTGGAGTCTTTTCAGTGAGTGGAGGAAAACCGGCTGGGTACTGGGTACTGGACTTATTGGACTTATTTCGAGTCTATTTTAAGAAATCTATACACTGATGATTTATATCAGCCATACCAGCTGGTGCTAAGTACAAAAACATGTGTAAAGGTAACCTACATTTTACTGGGCATCCCCTGTAGTTCTCTACTGGATCAATGACAAAAATATCGGTGAGAATCCCTCCGTTAAATGCCTGTGTTGTAAGGGGTATTATTAACGACCAAAAAAACACGGAATAATAACATTCCACGGAAGCGTGTTTTCTTGAACATACCGTATATGACACAAGATAACACACCCCCTGGACCGATTTTCAAAGCTCGATTACTCCACGACGAAGAGGATGCATAAATGAAACAATATGTTTTCGAACAGCTCTCGACGAGACGGTTCCAACGCCGCCGTTTTCGGCGCTGTGACTCTTCCTGCTGTTGAGAAATCGAGCTTTGAAAATCGGCCAAGGGGGTGTGTTATCTTGTGTCATATACGGTATATGGAGGCGTTTTCCCCCCGAAAACGTGAAAAGGAGCCGGGATATTTTGGCGCTTGCTACTTTCACCGATCCGTGTTTCTGACGGAAGCATCGGACAAGCGCACCGCGGGCGCTGTAGCATCACTGAGAACGCTAGAAAGACCTGCCAGACTCACGTCCAGGTCTGTTGTGGAGATGGACAAGCGGCAGAAGCGGCGTTCAGTCCGTTCTTGGCCCAAAACTAGACACTGCGTGGTGCTCTCGTCTTCAACTGCTGCCGTTGGTGTTGGTTTTTTTTTTTCAATCACACATGGCAAACACGGAAACAGTAGAAAGAGTAAAGCAGCAGCACCAAGACCTCCAACGCGCTGATTCCTTCGGTTCGGCTGTCTATATGATACCATCTCCCGGCGCCGTGCTGCTTCGTGCGTATTGGGTGCTGCTCAATATAGTGTGTGAGAGTCGTGTGCCACCTCACCAAAATGCCGTTGGAAAAAATACGGCGAGATGATCCGTTTTTGGTCGGAAACATCAACATCAATCCACGGCACCACGCAGCAGTAGAGCAACAGGGCTCCGACACTTTCGGATTGGCCATCAATATGATGCTGGCCGTCAGCGCGGCTGCCGCCCTATGATTGTTGAGCTCGTCTACCTTTGGGCAGGTGGTGGTCAAAGATGGGAGTCGCAACCGTGAAAAATGATCTGGCAAACTGAATAAATCGCATGCAACACCCAGGTTGCGACACTCTGCCCTGCGCCTATCGTTGCTGAAAACTGAAAATAGCAGGCCAGGTGGACGAGATCTTTCTAAGTGTGTTGTTCTCTGTGTCGGGTGCTGCTCATTGCGCTTTCACCGCTGCTCTATGGTGAGCATCGGCATGTCAACCTGTTGTGTGCCGAGCAAAGCGTGTATCCAGGGAAGGAAACGTACTTTTCGCGATGACATCACGAATAGAACAAGCGAAAAACATTCGGATCTTCTTTGCACCGTTCGTTCCGTGAAGAAATGCGTTTTTTTTTCGTTGCGTTGACAATACCCCTATAAAATGTAACCTTCACAGGGAACACGGCGCATGTCTTTTGTGACAATTTGCTAGTCTTGTAGATACTTCGAGTACGATTTTAGGGAACACTTATAGGAAAATAATTACACACACAGAGAACAAAGATACACACACAGAAAAAAACATGACAGAGACTACATGTACTCGTGTTTCAAATCTCCAATTTGAATTTCACGGGCAGTTGATTCCCGCCATTTTTGAATCTACAGAACGACATTTAATCCTTGGGATTCACGTATTATTGATGATTGAGATAAGATTGGTACATGCAAGGTGGCCTTTGCCGATGTTGCATATGTCACAAGAGAAATAGTTCAGCCTGTGATCACGGGAGGGAATCGACCGCGTCAAGTGTCAGGGCGTTAGGGGGTCCTATTCTGAGGATGATGGCTGCGCAGATGCCTTGTGCACTCAAGACTTGTGACATGGCGGGAGAGACTGCTGTTTTTTAGGCGAATAAGCGCGAAGCGAATGGAAGAGAGAAACATTCACGTTTGATAGAAGACGTGTTGGGTAATGAAGTGACCTGTTGAATTACCTATCCTTTCGTGAGGGCGTGTACTAACGTCCATTTTTTGGACAGGGAACAGGGAACTCGGAATTATTGTCTGATTGGTCAGCCACACAAAATAACTTTCCTGGAAGCAAGAATTGACACACGCGTTCCCTGTTTGAGGTAGTTACGCCGTAGCCAACAGACCATAGCGAACGTGGAACACGGGCTTTTTGGTGGCAATTCAGGACGTGGTGGGATATGTGTGATCCCTCTCGGGCATGTGGCTGCCCCACGTGCTGCATGATACCAGTACAAGCCGAATAGGCATTGCCACCATCATCAGGTGTCTTGCATGCAAAAAAACGGCGGCGGATGCTCGTGTAGCCGCTGTATGTGGGAACAAAAAGTGTCTAAGAAACGGCAAGCTGCCGATGACCACAACTCAGAAAGCAAGTCTTGCAGAGCACACTCGAGGGTGCGGATTGCATGACGAGCACCGCCTGTTGTAGCCGATATACCTATAATCGCACATGTGTGTGATGTGCGCTGGTCAACAGCTTCCTTCAAAACCTACCCCACTCCTCCTTCCTCTACCCCCCACTCGTCTTTCTGCATCCAATGGTTGTATTTGTTGCCTTTGAGTGCTTGCGGGCGGGCGCGCTGAAGTGTTCCGTGTTCCCTGGAGATGTGATTCATGTTCAGACACAAGACTTGGAAGAGGGAATTCCGAGTTCGCTGTCCCCTTTTCCCTGTTCCCTGTCCCCCACCAAAGTGCAGTTAAGACACGCCCTTAAAAGACTATTGTAGTACATACGGAAGAAGGAAGGCACTGGAAAGAGAGAGCGGAACGGTTTTCAATGTGAAGAAAACTACAACAACAAACGAACACGTTGTTTTGATGAGGTTACAGGTAGTTTTTATGTTGACTAACTTTGAAACCAAACGCAAGAGCACCAGAAAATGCACAAGAGACACACAAGCCCAGTCGGAAGGCATCGCGAAAAACAGAAATCGTTGATTCTCGCTAAGGGCAGGGCAGTAAATGCTGCTCAAAACATGCATTTCACGCGTCTTCCTCTACACGCTTCCTTTGAAATCAGGATAAGCTCACACCATTCTAAGTTCAATTCAAAAGAGCCAAAACGGAAGGCGCTCAAATAAGGTCAGTTTTAAGGGATAGCTCTGGGGGTCCATTGTCATCAGTAGAGGAAACCATCAAGAGGCGTCGTGTGTGTTGGCACATTCAGGTTTGCTACTGAAGCCGAAATATCAAGGTCGCAGCAACCTCTGAAAACAGTCCGAAATCTGCGCCTGAACCAAGCGGCATCCAACATTTGTCACAGCCGTGCTCCCCGCCACTGACCCCAATCTCCTGAACTGCGGGTTTACAGCAGTAGCTGATGCCACTATTGTAGTGGCTACTGCTCAGAACCCTCCGTTGAGGGTTTACGGTCGGTGGCAGTGAGCACGGCTGTGACAAGTGCTGGATGCCTCTTGGTTCTGGCGCAGATTTCGGACTGTTTTTGGAGGCTGCTTCGACCTTCGGTATTTCAGCTCCAGTACCTAGCAAACGAACGTGCCAGCACGCACGCGCCTCTTCATGGTGTCCTCTACTGATGACAGTAGAACCCCAAAGCTAACCCTAGCCCGAAGGTCGTTTTGTTTCTTTATGGTATACCCCTTTTTCTTCATTCCCTTACCAACGGGGGATGGTCGCACCACGTTGTGTTAAAATGGTCAAGCTTCCTCGAGGCAGTTACACAGTGCTTACAACTGTCTCTGGAAGTGAAAGCACCAGAAAATAAATTAAGTCATACGTAGCTGTCATACGTACGCAAGGAAGTAAGCACAAGATGCGGAACACCCTTAGCAGGATGCAGCTCACCCTTCATGCGACTCGCCAAATACCTCACGGCGCTTCGCGCTTGGTGATGTGAGAGCCTGGTCCGGTGAGAACCCGGCATGCTCCGTCCCGGCTTTGTAGGGATGCGAGGTCAATGGTCAAACGACTACGGCATGCACGACTATGAGTACACCCCCCCCCCCCCCCCCCCCCTTAGGGGGGGGGGGTATTCAACAAGAAAACAACCTTCCCGCAACCTTTCCGCCGTTTCTAGCTGCACTTTTAGTATTGGACATATTTCAACCTCCGATTCCCGCTTCCCGCATGCCTGTTATCCGTGAAAATCCAGAAATATGCGGGGATCCCCGCCTTTTGAGTTTGAAAGCGGTGGCGGGCTGTTCGTTTATTCGACGCGGGAATCCCGACGTCCTGGCGTGCAAAGAGCCAATTCCCGCATGATTGTATTTGGTGCTCTAGAGCAAGAGCACCAAATACAGCAATTCCCGCGGCAGAACTTTGGTATCAGAGAGGAACCAGACAGCCAGACAGCCGGCAGCTTCCAGACAACAACAACAACCCACCCTCTGTTTGCCACACCAAGTCTCAGGGAACGCAGCACGAGCACAAAGCCGATATCACCAGCCGCAGGACAGGCACCATGTTGTACTATGTGACTGCTGTGCGGGCGCTCGGGTTCACAACCTAGCGCGCCGAGGCGCAAGATGCATGCGTCTGCGGCGTCACCTTTTTTTGCAAAAGAAGACTTGAAATACGCACACACCTACCTGAAATGCGCTTTCTTGCCAGAACACCTTTCAAGCTCAAACCCGTTGGAGTGTGCATTGCTTTGTTCACTCCATTCCATTACTCGGTGGATCGTGGGCATGCATGTGTTGCTTCGATCAACTGGGCGCAGCGTGGTCCTTCACTCTGGGCCTTTGTGCGGTGGCTGCGTGTAGCTCGAAGTCGAAAAAACTTTGGGGAATACAAGGGAAGAGCCAGAGAGAGCCGAACTTCGCAACGGACTTCTTCTGCCGCTGCTGCTGCTGCTTCTGCTCCTTGTCTTTTTTTCAGCACACCACTGCCCCCACGCTCCACGGATAGAGAGCAGTGGTAGGATGCCATGTCCTAGCAGTTTTCAGCTCGAAAGGTGGTCTGTCGAGTGAGAAATCCAAGCTGTGCCCTCTGAATAACCCTTTGCCACAACAGCCTGCTTCTGTACACGCAAAGACTCTATCTGTGTTTCTTTTTCAGCTCTGTTTTTTTGTACCCGACGAGACAACGGCACGTGCGCTTGCGCGCGGATATCATGTTATTGTGTTGTGAGGATCTATATCTTCGTAAGCGCTCTAGGCAAGATGTTGTAATACTACAGCAGAGCAGCTTCTTTCTGGGCAAACGAGGACGAAGTAGCCGGACGTTCTCGCGTTTGTTGGTGCACCAGAAAAAGTAGCAAACAGCGGAACGGCGGTTGGCGTTCGTCCGTGAAAACCCGAAGAAAGACGGGAGGGCGAGTTTGAAATCACCATCGGGATTCCCGCATCTATTCACCCGACCGGAACGGGAAAGTAAACCGCGAAATATTCGCCAAAATCAGATGCGAGAGACGGGAATCGAGTTTGAAATAGGTCTAGTACAACTGTTATCAGTAGAGGACACCATGAAGAGGCATCGTGTGTGCTGGCATGTTCACGTTTGCTTATTGGGTGGTGATCTCGAGGGTCGTACGGCAGTAGTAACGGTCTACCCAGTGCCTTGTACTGCTTGTACTCACGGCCACGAACCGGGATCTCCTGAACGGCGGGTCATTTAGCAGTAGCAAGTGTCATCAGCTGTCAACCCGCAGTTCAGGAGATTAGGGTCAGTGGCGACGAGCACAAGCATTACACACCCGGGTTGCAATTCCCATTAAGAATCGATTTTTTTTTTGTTCATTGCGACAAGGCATCGATCACGCGGAGCCCCCGCCGCGGGTGAATTCCTAGGCTAAGGTGCAAGCGTGGGCTGCTGCTGCTGCTGCTGCTGCTCGAGCTGTTTTGTGCCTGCGACTTGAAGGATTTGTTGCCATAGGCGGCTGGGTGGCTTGTGGCAGCATGGCTGTGATGTGATGTGAGGTAATTTGTGCATGTAATGTGCCAGTCCCGGTGGCGAGCTCTGCCTAACCCTACTGCTGTGTTATCCGCTAGCGAGGATCAACCGTTAATTTAACGACTCTCTCAAATGTCTGTCCCCTCGAACGCATTGCATGCATGCGGCCGTCACTTTTGTTGCGCTCGTGTGTGCGAACGAACCAACAACTTTTGTGTGACTTGACTGACATCTATCTGGACGGACCCGGCTCGCTTGTTGTTGGCGTGGTGGTGTGGTGTGGCGACGGCAGGAGGAAGCCACCAATGAGCTGATCCGAACGTTCGAGTCTAGGGACGACGACGTCTTCGTGTGCACGTTTTGCAAGTCCGGAACGACGTGGGTGCAGCAGATCATAACACTGGTGAGAGACGCGAGCGGCGGGAGGTAGGGAGGTACATGACCGCTGTAGTACACCGGACGTAGGGAGGTACAGGACGGCTGTAGTACACCGGACGCACAAGCGGGACGTTTTAGACTACTTGTGTGCCACTTTTGATGCCACGCCGAACGTAATTTGTCTATCGGCCGCATGTAGGTAACTTAAAGGCAAAAAGGGACACGCCATGGTGAAAAGGGGGCAGCTTCAGGGATTGCTACAGCAGTACATGTAGTAGAGAGAGCATCTGGTACATAGATCAAATAGATCGCCGACACGCCCACCTCCAACACCCAACAACACCCATTCACCTGTCTCATGCATCGTACTTTCAATATGTCGGGACTGCTGTAGGGACAGCAACAAAGTATCTTGTCTCCTGTTTTGGAAGCGTGAACCAGGTTGTCACCGCTGCTGGCCTACATGGCTCCGTCGTTTGCCAGTTCACGAAACGACAGCACCTGCCTGCCCAATATCCGCATCCCAAAGGAGTAATACTTTAGTCTTCTTACGATTTAAGTTTCTCTGAGAACGCTTCATTTCGCTTCTTGCGGCTTCTGTGAGCGCTCTATTCCGGTCTTCTCGGGCTCTCACAGAGCAGCAGCATTTCCTCTGGAAATTTGGCACTTTGGTGGACTTTCCACTTTTATCTTCCGTTTTTTTTCTCTCTCGCCTGCTGCTGTCACCCCGCTCTGTACCATCATACCACGCATTCCACTCGAAGTACGGCCCTCTGTGTGTGTGTGTGCCTCCTTCTCCTCCGTTCCTCCGTCTCTCTATGTCTCTGACGGTCTGTCTATTCACGCTCTCGTTTTATTTTGGCCTTCTCTCTTGACCGCTCTCGCGTCGGAATGGTCTGTTGTTTGTTCCGATTCCGTGTGCTACTGCTGTACATTTGTTTTTTTCTTATTACACCTCACACGGTATGTACATTTTTTTTTCTTCTTCGAACACCTTCACACCGTATGCACTCACCTCCTATCACCTTGGTACCGTATTCTCTCTCCTCTCGGTGTGTGTGTGTGTCTGTGTATCCACGTTGTCTTCAATTTTTTGCTTTTTTTCTCTCTTCACCGCTCTCGCGTCGGAATGGTCTGTTGTTTGGTAGTGCTATTCTTTTTTTGCAGTTCAAGTAGTGGGTTAAATTGGTAGTGCTGTCTTTCTTCATTCGCAGTTCAGCCGACAATTTTGTCTATTTTTTGCAGTTCTGAGTTCTAGATGTGTATCGGATAATGCAGGGGTACTGGGCACGGCGATGGGAAACAAATAATGGACCTTTACATCTCCTTAAATCACACACGAACCTCCATCATGGAAACTCCACCTTCACGGAAACTTTAACTGCCATCGGTGCCTACCTTCATTTTAACAACATCCTACATCCACTTTCAGATAAAACATTGCCTTGGAATCGCTTTAAATAAAGCGGGGGCGCGAAGCGCCCAAAACCTTGTAGAATACTACATAGGGTGCCGCGTCACTCGGTTTAGGAGGGGACGGCGGAGGTACGTCGCAACGTTCTGTAGAACGAGTGTACGCTAAGCACCGCGCGTGAGGCGCTTTTGCAGTTCGCGGTGCTAAGCTCGCCGGAGTGGGGTGATCAAGATTGGGCCTGGAGAAGCAAGCAAACACCGAGAGAGGACACTGCAGTCGTGTCTTGCTTGGTGATATGGGTATGATAAGACGTCGTCATGCCAACGGGCCAGCCGTCCAGATAGCGGCAAGGATTGCCATGACTGATGACTGAAATGGACGCTTGATCTTCGATAAAGAGCGACATGTTTCACGCGTCCCCTCCGTACCGTACATGACACAAAATAACAAACCCCCTGGACCGATCTTCAAAGCTCGATTTTCAACAGCAGCAAAAGTCGCAGGGCCGAAAACGGCGGCGTTGAAGCCGTCTTGTCGAAAGCTTTCCGAACACGAATCATTTGATATCGGCATCCTCTTCGTCGTGGAGTAATCGAGCTTTGAAAATCGGTCCAGGGGGTGTGTTATCTTGTGTCATATACGGTATTGTACCGAAATACCTCCGCGCTGGACTCCCGCATTATGAGAATGATGAGTGTTCCGATGGTAAGGTATGTACATGTAGCGTTTGTTTTTGTCTTGCCAGCCAGAAGAGGAAACGAAAGAAACAAAACAGCGGTCGCGTTTTTCGCGAGAAGTACAGTACTCCCGGAGGTGGGGCGTCTTTTTTTCTTTCTTTTTGGTATACATTGCCTCTATCGTACAGTATAATAGCTCACCATCACCCGTGATCCACCTCATGTGCGTGTACGTGATGAACGTGATGGACGCCAATATTGGGGATATTGGAATATTGGCAGCTGCTCAACAACGGAGAGCAGGGGGAGAAGAACTACACGTCGGTGGTGCCATGGATGGAATCGCTGCTCTTCACCCCATCAGCGAACCAGCCGCGAGGGCCTGGTCGAGACCACGAGGTAAGTGGTGAGTGGATAGACCACTTTATCCCCCATCACGAAACAGCATATAGGTCTGGTGTGCCTTTCCGCGATGCCACGTCAAGCGTTAAGCTTTGGGGTGTACAGTACTCTTCTCGGGTCCTTGTTTCGGGCTTCTACGTTTGTTCCATGACTACAGCATAGTGCTGTAGTCCCGCCTCACATGCGGTGAAACCAACTAGTCCCTTGCGTCACCACCAAATAGCGGTGTGGCGCCTTGCGGGCTGGGTGCTCTCCGTGCACACCGTGGGCTGGGTCACCTAAATAATTTGTCCGCTACAAACGTTAGACGTATGGGTGCGCATCAGCTCGTTCGGCACCTACATCTTAGCGTTGCGGCCAGGTCCTCTCATCAACCCTGTTGTGCTTTTGTGCACCGTCTGTGCACATCCGAAAACCCCTTGATGGAGGCGATGGCTACATGGCTATCCAGCTGTGCTTCCAAGCTGTGTAGTACCCAGTGCGAACGAACCGTCTTGTTTTCTAGTCGCAAGCAGTCGAGTCGGCATGCGCAACAGTAATAATGTTGTTAGGTCTCTCGAACGGCCGTTGTGAGGCGACCGCATGCTGTTTGGTCGCGTTTTCACTCTGTCGATGTTGTACTGCAGTGTCGTACGACAGCGTTATATGGTATTTCAGGGACGCAGAAGGAGCCAGACCCACAGATGTCAAACAGGTCGGTGTTGAAGAAACTACCATACGGTGCTGAGGCGAGGATGATGCACAAGGTTAAACAAGGACTGATCTCACCCGAGCCAGATCATTGTTCGTCCTTTCCTAAAAGTTGAATGGAAAGCTTTCGCGTGCCGGTTTTTTTTTTTTGCTGTCCCCGAGCTGGGAGGAAAAGCGAACGAGTCCTTGTTCTGTACTTGTATCTACTGCTGTACTTCCATTATTTTTAATAATGTAGTAGCAGACACGAGAGACGGCGATCCCGCGGAACAAACGTTTGCCAGCCGCGAGGCTTCTGGATGTAATCAATCGCGTCTGAAAAGGCTAACCCAAACGACGCGACGGCTGAGAAGTTTGAGCACTGCAATTGATGTCCAGCCGGCGCGTTTGCGCTCACCAACATTGTAGGAATGTCAGGGCCTTGGCTTCGGGTGAATTCTCCATCTTCCATCTCTCATATCTCATCTCCCGTGCGGTGCCGACGATAAAACGGCCATGGCGAACAAACCCTCGCGTCAGGCTTGTGCTGTGGGCATCACATTTCACCACAGGCGGGCGGTCAGCTACCTTCAAACGGCAGTGCGGCGGTCTGTCGAGAGATTGATGTCGAACCGAGTGTAACTGTAACTGCATGCACCTCTTGTTTTGTCCCTTCTTCTGGCGACTCACTGCTCCTGCGACAACAACAGGCCAAGGGCTGGACACTCGAGAAGATTAAGTCTAACCCTGAAAGGCGCTTCTTCAAGTCGCACGCTAACCTCAAGCAGCTGCCAGTGGGCACTGCCAAGGGGGTGAAGGTCAGTCATGTGGCCACTTGGTACAAATAGAGTACGGTAGGGTTGGAGCTGATCTGTTACAGGACGAATCATGAGGCATCGGGTAAGTCTCCCCACTGCTGACATCGTTGTGGGCGCGAGCTTTGTGTTCGCTCTGTTCTGCGGCATCTATGTACCATAAACACGGTAACGTAACGCGCAAGACGGGTTCTTTTGATGTGTGTCCCTGGAACTCGAAAAGGCCGCACAGCAGGTTCAACAACGAGGCCGACTGAGGTACAGGAGTACCAATACACCGTGATGACACCAGCAAAAGACGAGTTTCAAGATGATCCCAGTGGCGTCCTCTCCCTTGCTTGTCTTTGGTTTTGTTACTGCTGCAAGTGACCTATCGCCGAAAAGTGGACCATCTGGGTCAGTTTAACTTACCATGTCCGCCTTCCCCCGCAAACGGCTGCATGCCAATGCTAATGCGTGCATGCATCACATCCACACGACCGCAGGTTATCTACGTGGCGCGGAACCCCAAGGACGTCAGCGTCAGTCTGTACCACCACGTCCGCAACAAGCAACGGGACGTATTTGACGGAGACGAGTCGGACATGATCCGCTGCTTCGTTAAGGGAAGGCGAGTGTGTAACGGTCCTCATTTGCTCATTTGTGCATCTTCAAGTCGAGGGGCCATGACCTGGTTTGGAGTGCAAGAGTTGCCGTGTGTTTTGTGTGTGCTCATGGGGAAATCCTTTCCAAGCACGGTCACCACAGAATACGGAAACGCAGTGTCGGCAGGGGTGGTGAGAAAAGATAGTGGTGTTTCACGCCGTCAGGGCGACGAAAGCAACGACCAACCTCGGAAATAGCTCCAGCCTGCAGTACCCTGTTTTCGAAAAGCTCACGCAGAGTCCAGGGCAGGGTCGACAGCAATTGATTAAACGAGCTCAATAACTTGAGCTGTGGCCTGTCTTCAGGACGGAAGGACGGCAAAAACGAACTATTTAGGTTACATGTATAAATATCACGACTGACCCCCTGACGCCATGCCTGCCTCTACGTGTTTACCTAATGTATCTACCTCGCGACAGATGCGAAAACGGTTCGTGGTTTAACCACGTGCTGGAGTGGTGGGAGGCAGCTCAGGCGGATCCGGAGCACGTCCTGTTCCTCCACTACGAGAACTTGCTCAAGGATCGGGAGGGGAGCATCCGAAAGATCGCACAATTCGCCGGCATCGAGCACACGCCCGAGACCATTGCCAAGGTGCGTGACCCCAAGAATCCGTCCCGTTCTCGCTCAAGTCTGATTGTGGTGTGGTGTGCCTGCTAAGCACGTCTGGCAGCGTGCTCCTATTCCAACAACAGTGCCACAAGCGTAAGTCCGGCCAATCCCATGTGGAGTTTTTTCGCCCCTTGATTTTTTGTGGTGCAATCAAGACAAGACACTTTTCTGTGCGACGCATACTCACTTTGTTGCAACACTTGAAGAATCTACATATCTTGCATACAGTATGTACGTTACTGCACCTTGTTGTCGGAGCCGCAGCAGTGCGAAATCAAGAGCGACGTTTCGAATTTCTGGCATGCGTCCTGTGACAACTAGCCTTTGCGTCGAGGGTCGGCACTGCCTTCGTGGCATAATGGTCACTCTCTCCTTCCTCGATCGCGTTCAATAATTCCGCACCGATCCTGTAGGGTAAAGTGTGCTACGATACATATTTGTATGGTGTGAAATGGCGGAAACACATCTCTCACGCTCCATGGGGAACAAAAACGTGAGGGACTTGAACCTCAAGACGACAGGTGAACAGAGCGACCACCTTCCGACGATTTCGAAAGCCATTGTACCGATGCGAACAAAACATGTGCAACCATGGAGAGGGCAGGATGTTGCTCAGTACTGCTGCCGCCGAACAACCAAAATGACCAACAATCGTAGCTGCAGCATGGCGTACTTGCTGCGTCCAGTGCATCCAAGCCATTACAAGGGGCCCTCCCAGTGGAACCATGGAACACCCCCAGGCTACGCTGGAATCTTGGCCGGGAGGGGGGGGCTATTGTTTAAGTAGGATTTGGAACGGTATTTTTTAACCTATATATGCTTAGTTATATGGGATTTAGCATGGTTTACTAAAACCTATACCATGTGATAATAAGACCTATAACATGCGTTTTGTGCAGGATTTTGAATGGCGATACGTCAGCCTATTGGATGGAGTATGGCAATACTCAAACCTACACACGCACAGGTGTATTACACGGGTTCTAGAACGCCGTACTAATACAACCTGTAGGAGATAGTATGGGCATACTTGAACCTATTCTCCCCGTATTGATTTAGAATACACGGGTTTTGTTGTATTCACAATAAATCCCCTGGGCGTGAATCTTGGTGCGGGGGGGGGGGGGGGGGGGGGAGGGGGGCGATTGGTTTCAGTTGGGGGGGCCCCTTGGCCCTTGTTGTCCCCTCTTTGATAGGTTGAAAAAAAAGGCATTGCCTACCAACGGGTCGTATGTTACCCCATCCATTTTCCCCCCCTCTGCCCGTAACAAAAACTCCCGTCCCCCCTTGTTATGACAAAACAGGGCATTCCCCCTCAAGGGCCGTTAAACCCCAAAAAAAAGGGGTTGACCCCCCCGGGGTACCCGGAAAGGGAAAATTTTGCTCCAAGGAACTTCTTTTTCCGTAAAATGGGGCCAACAAAATTGCCACAACCCCCCAACTAGCCAAA